CAGTAGTTGGTTCTGTTTATTACCAACAACTTAAGTCCAAACAACTTAAATATGTATGTCCTAGAAACTCAGTAACCTTAAAAATTACATACATTGAAAGAAAAAAATTTTTATATCATTCTTAAATAATCACACTGACAGATGTGTGCCACTCTAGCATGGCTTAACTTCGGGAACAGATTGAGCTTTGCCATCGACATTTCCTTTTCCACATTGATTTTCACAAGGTACTTCCTTGTCATCATGGTAATTTCTAAAAACCTAGCTTTCCAAAGCTATGGCATCACCTTAAGGAATGTAGCACAGTATTGAAATATGTGAACTATCTCAAGCCAGTAGATTCACAACATCTGACAGATGTCAAGTTTCTGTTTCCTTTGAAATTTTTTAGTTAAAAATTTTTTTTTAATTTTTGGCTACTCTGGGTCTTCATTGCTGCATGCAGGCTTTCTCTAGTTGTGGTGAGCAGGGGTTACTCTTCATTGTGGTGCACTGGCTTCTCATTTGCGGAGGCTTCTCTCGTTGTGGAGCATGGGCTCTAGGCGTGTGGGGTTCAGTAGTTGAGGCACATGGGCTCAGTAGTTGCAGCTCGCGGACTCTAGAGTGAGGGCTCAGTAGTTGTGGTGCACGGGTTTAGTTGCTCCACGGCATGTGGGATCTTCCCGTACCAGGGATTGAACCCGTGTCCCCTGCATTGGCAGGCAGATTCTTAACCACTGGACCACCAGGGAAGTCCTCCTTCAAATTTTTAAATGTCGCATGGCACCCCCTGTGAATTTGCTGTAACTCTCCTGCAGCATCTCTGTGCACAGTTTAAGACAAACGGATTAAGACAGTGAAACCCTAGACACATTGAAATTAACTGGAGTAAAGATATTTATCATGGCCTAACACCCATGGCTCTGCAGAGCTAGAATTAAGTCTGAAAGTCCAGCACTCAAGAACCTGTTTACTTCTTCTTGCACACTTGAGATAATGTCTTCAAAAGCATTTTGAAAATTCTGAAGTGCTGTAACAATAATACTTGCCGAATTCGCTGGTAAAAGAGCTGTCTGCTAGAATGTAAGATCCAAGAGGCCAGGGAGTTGTGAATCCTCAATGCCTAGAATAGTGCTCGGGATATAGCTATTTTTTAATAAATAGTTGATGAATTAATAGATGAAAGAAAAGAGGGCACACTGACATTTCAAACTCTTGGTATTTTTAATAGAGTTGTAGCGTTGTCGTGGGTTTCATGCTCTTCTTTGTATTCTCTCAACTTGGTCAGTGACTTTCCAAGTGAAACCTAAGTTGTAGTGTGGTTAGAGATTACTATGTGTCTTGGCATGTTTCTCCTTGGGTTTATCCTGCCTGGGACTCTCTGCGCTTCCTGGACTTGGGTGGCTATTTCCTTTCCCATGTTAGGGAAGTTTTCCACTATAATCTCTTCAAATATTTTCTCGGGTCCTTTCTCTCTCTCTTCTCCTTCTGGGACCCCTATAATGCAAATGTTGTTGCATTTAATGTTGTCCCAGAGGTCTCTTAGGCTGTCTTCATTTCTTTTCATTCTTTTTTCTTTATTCTGTTCTGCAGCAGTGAATTCCACCATTCTGTCTTCCAGGTCACTTATCCGTTCTTCTGCCTCAGTTATTCTGCTATTGATTCCTTCTAGTGTATTTTTCACTTCAGTTATTGTATTGTTCATCTCTGTTTGTTTGTTCTTTAATTCTTCTGTTTGTTCTTTAATTCTTCTAGGTCTTTGTTAAACATTTCTTGCATCTTCTGGATCTTTGCCTACATTCTTTTTCCAGAATGATGTCCTGGATCATTTTCACTATCATTATTCTGAATTCTTTTTCTGGAAAGTTGCCTATGTCCACTTCATTTAGTTGTTTTTCTGGGGTTTTATCTTGTTCCTTCATCTGGTACATAGTCCTTGCCTTTCCATTTTGTCTATCTTTCTGTGAATTTGGTTTTCGTTCCACAGGCTGCAGAATTGTAGTTATTCTTGCTTCTCTAGAGATTATATATGTAAAAGGGTCTAGTACTTAGAGATACTCAGTAAATGATTAATTTTTTATAGGGAGATAAAGTAGGGTGGTGGCAAGAATACTAGCTTTGGAATAGGGCTAATTTGAATTTGAATTGACTGGATAATCACCAGATTTCTCTGTGTCTCAGGTTTTCCATATGTAATATGGAGATAAACATCTTAGTACAGCAGTCCTCAACCTTTTTGGCACCAGGGACTGGTTTTGTGGAAGACAATTTTTCCAGGGATGGAGGGTGGGGAATAGTTCAGGCGGTAATGCGAGCGATGGGAGCAATGGGAAGCAGCAGATGAAGCTTCGCTTGCTCACCCGCCGCTCACCTCCTGCTGCGTGGCCCGGTTCCTAACAGGCCGCGGACTAGTACCGGTCCACGGCCCAGGGGTTGGGGACCTCTGTCTTAGTATACAGAGTTGTTGTAAGGATTAAATGAGAAAATGTATACAAAGCACTTAATACAATGCCTGGAACATAAGAAGTACAAACAGGAGCTATTATCCTAATAGGTAATTTTCACTTTATTTGACTTACCTCATTCCTCTGAAGGTAAGTTTCAGGACCTATGAATAGACTGTGCATTATATACACCAGGCACATGCTACCTCAGGGCCTTTGCACTGGCCTGGAATGCTCTTCCAATACATGTCCACTTCCTTCCAGTGAGCCTGCTCAAATTCACCTTCACGATGAGGCCTACACAGAATTCCCTGTTTATAACTACACACCTCCATCCCCCTTACCGTGCTTGGTTTTTTCCCCTAACACTTATCACCTTTTAACATACTACTTTCTATGTTATTTATTTTCATTCTGCCCTCACAAGAATATACACTCCAGGAGGACAGGGATTTTTGTCTGTTTTGTTCACCAACAACTCAGTGTCTAGATCAATCACTGACAGAAGGTAGGCACTCAGTAGATATTTGTACAATTGAATTGAATTGATTTTAATATATTCCCACTGAATTTTATACTGTTTAATTTGGGTCCATTTTTTAGTTTGTCAGCATAATTTTGAGAAATAATAACTTGCTTTCATCCTGCATCTTTAAGTGTGGCCCATCACCCACATTGGTGTAAGTAGCCCCCACCAGGGAAAACTCCAGGCACCCTACCCAGTTCAATTACTGGCTGTGTGAACTTTGGCAATTTTCTTAGCCTCTCTGTGTCTTGGTTGCATTACCTATAAATGGAGATAAAAAACCACTGCTACTCCATAAAACTCTTGTGAGGATTTAATGAGTTAATACACATGAAGTGCCTATCACAGTGCCTGGCACACATTCAGTAAATATGAGCTATTGTTTTTCTATCTACAGCCAAGTCCAGGACCTTCTCCCCTTAGTCCTGCTCTGCATCTCTATTCTCCCCTCCTCTGGTATTCATCCTCTGCCCACCCACCTCGTCTTTCACCTCCTCCCTCTTTACCTATCTGATCTGAAACTGATGAGGTCTCTTTAGCTTCAACTGTCCTTTTTCCTCTACTAACTATTTTTTAAGCATTGGCCATTAGGCCCAAACTGTTTTTAGAAGCTCCAGGTAACTCCCTGACTAACCTGTGCCTGGACTAAAGTTTTCATGTTTTAACAGTGCAATTCTAAGAAAAATCCCAATGGGAACAAGAGGGGAAAACTTCTCACAAGTTGCTTTATTTGACCTTAATCCAGAACTATCTTAACCCTATCATTTATCACCAATAACTTACCCCATTTCATTTAAGTTTTTTGTGTTTTTTTTTTTAAAGCGTGGCCTCCTTAACATCTTGGTTTGTATTATTTTAAAGAGAAAATAATTTCAGGTCTTCTAAAACTTTTTTTTTTTTTTTTTTTTTTTTAAAATAATTTAAAGTATTCCTAAAATTTTTTTTTTTTTTTTTTGCCTTGAAACTAATCAAGAAGATCCCTAATATGTATATGCTCTCTGAACTTCATTCTGAGGCTGGGGAAGAAAATATCCTCTTCCCCGGAAGGGCTATACTATCTCAACTTGGGCTGTGAAGGCTGCCCAACCTCGTGTCACCAGTCGCGGGAAAGGGGGGCTGCCAGAGAACTTGGCTAAAGGTGGGGAGGTAAAAGGTCCAAAGGATTAAATTTCTGGCTCCCAAAATAACCCTGAGTACTCCTGCCACCTCCAAATCAGGCCCTGCACGCTTCTTCACTCTGGCAGAGTGCCACTTCTCTGGCCCAATCCCAGGAGGCCCTGTGGAGCCATGGATAACACTCTGTCTCCACATGACAGCCCTCTAGAGAGGCTGGGGAGCCCACTTAATTAAGGATGGACATACAAGGTGCATTATCTCTCTTCTTAGACTCAATTGTTCTTCTCTTTCTTTAATGTTCTTTCTTTCTTCTTCTCCACCTTTCTCTAGGCTCCTGCAAGTTCTCAGGACAGTGTTTTCCAAAGCTCAATAGTATGAGAACCACTGTCATGATGCCCTCCCCCCTCCCCCCCAACATATCCAAATCCCACCTGTACTGTTTCCTTAAATTAGCTCACTTTTTCACTTAGTGTTTAAAGACTAGTTACCGCTTTAAATTTAAAACCAGTTTCACTTGCCATAAACAGAAGGCTCAGATATAAATACAATTAAAACAAAAATATACAGTAATGGAATTTTAGTTGGCTATGGCTGCTTGCTGCAGGCCTTGTGCCTGAGTCCTACTCTGTTAAGGAATGCTGGTGAAGGTGTTAAAGACATACCAGCATCAAAGTGAGACTTGCTTCTTGAAATAGGGACTGGAAAGAGGATGGAAGAGAGCAAGATTCTCATCTTATTTTTAAATAACATGTCTACGTAAAACTTAAGCATTTCCCACTTTGGGAAACACCGCTTTCAGTTCAGGCTCACAAAAGGCAAAGATTGTTTGTTGAAATCTGATAGGCCTCATCCCATTTCCCTCAAGTACTGGGTACACTATTTACTAACTGTACTCAAAAACTTTTTGCATATCTTTTCTTATTATTTGTTCACAGTGTCCGACCAACCACCACAGAGCATTTCGGATATAGGACTCTGCTGTGGATCACAAAATGTGGCCGGTGAATGGGTCTTTGGACGCCATTTGGCCTAAATCTTGACCCATCTCCATTTTCCCGAAAAGAGACTTGGGGTTCGAGGCCGAGGGGGATTTGCCCAAGGTCACGCAGGGGGTAGACTGATTTCTGTGTTCCTGCAGCCCAGAGAACAAGCTATCTTGTGCTACCCGAGGCTTCACGATGGGTTGCCTGGCTGGCGCGTGGCCAGACTTCCAGTCTCCTGTGTTGATGGCGGTTGTTACGGCAGTGGCACATTGTTTCCCCGCCTCATCTTGGTGACGTTATGGGACCAGCGTCCAATGGGAAAGCAGCTCCGCGTCAAGCACCGCCTTTCCCGACGGGCACTGCCTTAGCGACTGGGAGACAAGCGTCGACAGTGCTGGACCGGCTGGCTCGGGTCGCGGCCGCGGCGTTACATCGTTTTCCAATCTGTCCGCAAACGCCGCCGCCCGAGACAGAGCCAGGATGTTCGGGATGCTGAGCAGCAGCTTTGAGGATGATCCCTTCTTCTCGTGAGTGTCGGCGGGCCGGGAGCCGGCGGTCGCGCGGGAACTCGGGGATCTTGAACGGAGCTATCTTAAGGGAAAAGAGTCAGTTAAAACTCAAGAGGGCGAGAGGGAATTCGAGTGACTCCAGGAGGCAGCTTGAGGGAGAGGAAGACTTGGGGGGCGTGAGAGGGAACGGAGAAGATTTAGGGGCGTGTGAGGGAGATGAGAGGAGGATTTCGGGACGTGAGAAGGAGGGGAGAGAAATTTGCCGGGCGTGAGGTGGGGGGATTCCCCGCCCAACAAACCCGTGTGCCGGCTGCTCTCAACTTGGCCAGACTTCGGATACTTCCCCATCCGCAACCCCTGTGCTTCTGGTGTTGGGAGTCCCGTCTTCGCAGCCGCAGAGGCTTTGCAGGTGACGACGGTAACTGCCCTCTCGGTGGAACTTCTGCAGAGAATTATACTTACAGGACCCTTTCCACACCTGCTTCTATTCCAAATGAGGGGCAGGGAATGTTTAATAAGTCTTCAAAAAAGGAAACTTTTTTTTTAAAGAAGTATTTTCCATAATACGTGCTTATAAGAGCACTTGGAGAGTTTTGCTGTCTTTCCCTGGAAGTGGTTGGAAATTGCCAAGTGCCCTGTTTGTTTCCTTTGCTTGCTTTGTTACAAAGCTAGCCTTGTTTGGAGAGAGACTCCTCTTTCTGTCAAAAGTACAAATAGGACAGGGAAGCAGAGAGAGGTGCACTGAACACCTCAGGTAAACAAGTGCCAACCCAGTGAATGGTTCCAAGTGAAATAATATGATGCCTTAAGACGAAGGCATCCAGAAATTAGTTGTTTCATTATGATCTAATTTTCTGGGGTTTGCTGTGTCTTGTTTTTTCTTTAGTTCTTCCTTTGTCGATTATATAAAAGTAATAACACAATCTAGTGATCCCTAAAACAGGAAGATTTGTGTTACTTTTTTACCCAAGTGTTTTGTCAGTTTGAATTTTGACTTGCTGTCCTAATTTATTTTGATCACTTAAATTCTCTATCTGTGCAGCTTGGGGACCATCTTTTTAAAAAGTTAAAATGTTAACAGTTTACTACATCGATTTTTTTGTTTGTTTTTAAAGAAAAATATTATATTGGCTTAAATGTATTAGTACTATATTAAAACCAAATAACATAAAAGTAATAACTGAAAGAAAATTAACAGTAGAAAGATGAAATGATAAATTTAGAAAAAGTTAAATGATTAATATTTTATTCTAAAGATTATTGATTATAATTAAGGGGTGTATGGACTCTAGCAAATTTATCATGCTGTTTTAACTTGTTTAGGAGCAGTTGGGACGCTTATGACCAGTGTCATTTTAACACATTTCAAATTTTGGATTATGATTTGCTCTTTTAAAAGCCTCTGAGAGTAGGGACTAAATATATCCATAGATTAGTTGAGCTGTTGAAGTGGCTCTTATGTAATTGTGACATCAGTACAATGGGCGACAGTTAAGAAGATTATGACAGACAACTTTTGAGTTGTATTGTCTTTGATTATATCAAAAGAGCAATGAACTAAACTAAACCATGAATGTATAATTAGTACCTTCTTTAAAACGTCTAGCAAAAGTGTAATTTAAACTCTTGGGTGACGCTTTCTGAGCAAAGGCAATGAACCCAAGAGTCAGGGTCAGAAATAGTAACAGACCACAAGTAGTAGGCATACATCAAAGAACACTCTTCCCATGGGCTTAGAATGGATAGGACCATCAGTTACATGTCAGTAGGTTTTTCAGTCATCATTTTCCGTAGCCTTCTTCAGATGTAGGCAGCCATATCATAGAAATCTGGGATAAAATTAATTAACTTTATAAAACTGACTTATAATTTCTTTGCTCCACAATTAACAATATAGAGAATAAACATAATTAGGGGAGACAAGGGAGAAAGAGAATGTGAGTTTATATTTATTTCAAGTAATGTGTCATTTGACCCACCCCTTTTACCCGAACCCCAAACAAAATGAGAATCCACTACTTAATACAAGTCAAGCATAAGGAATTGATAAAGGTGACAGGCTCCTTATTAAATCATCCACTGACCTTAAGGAACACAGAAGGGTTCCATGCCCACCATCTTTTATATAAATATTACCCCTATTGCTAACATTATGTGTCTGGTCATTGGGTTCACTAGTGGCTATTTTAATGTCTGACATGTAGAAAGTATTCAAGAGATATTGTTTAATGACAATCTGGCGTCTTTTACTCTGTCTTGTAGTTAATGTGGTATTTAGTTGATTGCTGGATTGCTGAAAGTAGTTACAGATGGTCCCCAATTTACGATGGTTCCACTTAAGAGTTTTCAACTTTACCATGGTGAGAAAACAATACACATTCAGTAGAAACCATACTTTGAATTTCAGTCTTTTCCCGGGCTAGCGCCATGTGGTACAATACTGTGATGAGGTAGGCAGTGGCAGGGGCAGTGAGCCTCAGCTCTGTCAGCCACACGATCACGAGCGTGAATAACCCATCACTGACAACCATTCTGTTTTTCACTTTTAGTACAGTATTCAGTAAATTACACGAGGTATTCAATACTTTATTATAAAGTAGGCTTTGTGTTAGTTTTGCCCAACTGCAGGCTAACGTAAGTGTTCTGAGCACGTTTAAGGTACACTAGGCTAAGCTACGATGTTTGGTAGATTAGATGTATTAAATGCATTTTTGACTTACGGTTATTTTCACCTTACGATGGGTTTATCAGGATGTAACCCCATCACAAGTAGAGGAAGATCTGTATTTGCATTCAACAGGTGCCATTGTCGATGTTGGCACTTTCTAATTTAAATACTACCATTTTCTAAATAATTCATTAGTTCAGAATCAGGGATATTAATAATAAGCACACTCTACTAATTTACTAATTAAAAGTGGGCAGACAAAAAGTATATACTTCTTGGATATAAAATTAGAATTATTAAATAAATTAGGACTAGTAAAATACAGTGTCAAATTGTCAAACACTTTAGAGATTTGAGTAAAAAACAAAGTCTAGTTTTGAATTCAAATATATTCATTTTTAATGGTCACCTTCCTATAATAGCACATATTAAATGTTTCATTAGAAAATTAAAGGGAAACTTTAAAAGTGATATTTTAAAGTTTGTTGTTTTATTATATATTTGGGACATTTTTGGTGTCATAATATGTTTCAGAGCTGAAGTTATTTCAGTGAAAATTGCCTCACAGTATACATTCACATATACCTTTTTAAACAAATAATACTTGTAATTTGGTTAAAAACACAAAGGCTAAAAACTAGCACTTCCTGGCATGCAGTTTTCTCTCAAGAATACTACTTTCTCCTCCCGTTTGCATTTTCTTAAGAATAGAAATATGCAAGTATGGACAGAAAAATTAATTTGAGAATAAAATGATTTTGGCATCTATCCTACACCCTAAAAAACATTGATTATTAAATGTAAAAGTTTACATATATTTAGTACAATCTAGAAACTTCTGCTTTGTACAGAAACATGAACTTTGAATCTTCTGAGCTACGGAAATGAAATTCTGATTGTGCAAGTCTACAAAGAATAGCTATGTTACTACTTATCAGCTATTAGACATTAAACAGCCTTTAATAAGGTAAATCAGCCTTATTTTTCATAGTAAATTGTTAACATTTCTTTAAGCCACCCAAACTCTTCATGTGGGCACCATATTGTGATGACCAGTCTTTGGTTAGAGAAGCCCTGCATATATTCTTAGGATGTTACTTTTTCTATCTCCTCGCTCTCATCAGGGGCTAAAATTTACATATCTATAATCTCTATTTTTAATTTTTAAAAATTTATTTATTTTGCACTTTGGAGGTAGTCAGAGGACACTGCTTTGACCTATTTACTGAGTTGAAAGTGAATGTATTACACATACAAGACAGGCATTGACTGATATTTTCTTGATTGAGAATATTGCCACGGCAGAAAATAAAACAAAATCGCCTTATTAAATAAGCTAGACTGTTCGGGGCATTCTTTGGCTCGTTAAGTACGAACCATTGAGTTAGGAGCCAAGGAGCATAACATGATTATGACATAGTCAAAGAATGCCATTTGGTACCATCTGATCATATCATAATGCTTAGTTCTATCAGTGACTTTGTAAGCATTCACATAGAAGTAGGGGAGTACCTACAGGATGGGAAGGAGCCATAGTCATTCCTACATCTCTTACAATATCAAAGCCTTCTGCCACACCACCATTTTAAACTGTGCTTCTAAACAGTAGGCAAATAAAATTGCCTATGGAAATGTAATTCATTCTTCAAGTATTTCTTAGTTTTCTACTATATGCCCAGCCCCATGGACTTTGTTATAAATTTGTAGAAGTCATGGTCCATGCCCTAAAAGATTCTCTTATGAAGGTTGTATGCATTATTTCTAGTGTTGAAAATATATCATCTGATCTATTTTCTTTATGGACCCATACACCTTACTGAGACTAGGAAACATTTTTTTGTGATCAAAGACCCATAGCAATCTGCTTATGCCACTACCATGTATAGTGGAAGGAAGGAATTTCCCTTGATGAATGGGACTGCCGTATCAGTTATCTAAGACCCTTGTGTAATAAAGAATAGTGTACTGCTTTTTTACTTAGAAGCACAAATATCTATATTCTTGTACAGGCCAGTAAAATTGTAATTCTGGTAAAAAATATATATTACATGTATATATAATATAAATATTTTATATATTTATATATATATATATATATATACAACATATGTATATTTGAGAGAATCTTAAAGAAAAAAAACTTATTCTGAAGTGAAACATTACCAGCCCTTAAAAAAAAAAACACTTTTATGTTGAGGTTATCCCAAGAGACCCAGAATCAATCTAGGAGTTAAGATTTTTTTGTCGGGGGAGGGGGCAACAATTTTTCCTAGCTTCTGATAGGCAAATATAACGGAGTAGAAAACATATGTTTGCTGCTAAATTTCATTCTGTTTGATTGTGGTTTGTG